AGAAATCATTCCACAAGGTTTAGATTAAAAGTCACACAATTTAGTTGGGGAGCCTCAAACCCTGGTCATGGATGGTCCCAACACACTTTTTTTAGATACTAGTGTTTTTTTTCACAAGCTGGCTCACAGGGCAGGGTGAATATGGGCTGCATAGGAGTTCCAACATTATTTGTCCTACATAGCACGACAGCAAATGGCATGCTGCTGTGTTTATGAGGCCAGCCTCCCATGGTGGGAATGTCACCACTGATCTGTGACAACTAGAATGACACATCTTCCTGAAGGCGAGCCTTTTCCATCCTCCACAACAGACTATTAAAGAACTAAAGAGCAGTGCTGTGAACTTCCTTTTGACAGTGCTGTTATAAGGCAGGCTTCTGAATGGAATTCCAATGGCTTCTCTCTCTATGCCAAGTGCAGAGTCATATACAAGGTCCATTTCCAAATCCCCACCTGATGATGTGCTGACATGCTTTTCTGCCCATACAGACCTTTCAGAGAATTGGGTTGTTTGTGTTTACTCCTAAATGTTATTCTGATTCCATATTCAGTTTGCAACAAAAATCACCGTGTAGTGATTAAGCTGTTGGTAATTAATTTATTTTCCAGTTCATCACTTGTCTTCCCTTCCATGTAATCATCAAATCTATTCATTATGTATATTAAAAGTCACACAATTAGGAGGGCACATGCCATGTTCAAGCAAAGAATGCTATGTGACACCAAAACTGATTTACTTGTCAACAATCTAGTAAGGGGTATCTTTTTATTATAAAAAAAAATAGCAAAATTAGAAAAAAAAATAATTTACAGGAAAACTGAGTCACAAATACAATTCTATTCTACACTAGCAGGCTATACGACTCTTACATGTTTTATAGAAACCAACAAAACAAACAAACAAAAATACCCAGAAACTTAGAGATGGAAAATAAATTCTTCTCAACAAATAAAAAAAGTTTAGCTGTGAGGACACCTGCCTTTCCTTCCTATAAATTATTGAATAATTTAAGAAGCAAAGTCATAAATGATAATACGTTATGGGTGTGTTCATTTTATGGGCCTCAAGGGAAAAAAATGTATCTGACCGGAGGCCTACAGCACTTAAAAAACACACACGCTTGTCATGACACCAGCAACCACGCCACACCTAGGAAACATTTAATGCAAACCCCTGTTTTAGACTCTGAGGCTTTCAACGATTAGGTACACTCTTGTCTCAAATCAGACTAAACACACTTGAACCTTTCTCACCGAGCACGAAATTATACCCTGACCACATTCTATTTCCAGATTCTGAACATCAGGGGACTGTAACTTTCTTTGAAAACACAACAAAAATCCCAAGAAGGAAAACTGCAAGCCATCTAGGGTATATACAAACATCTATTTTTATCTAACATAGTAACTATTCTACAGTGTAGTCAAACCACGTGGTAAAGCTCAACGTCAATGGCAAATTGAGAATGAGATCACTGTTTTTCCCATATCTTAAAAAAATAGACTAGTGAGCTTTGTAATGAGGGAATACCTGTTAATTGTAGAAGCTTTGATCTGCTGTGTTCAGCTCCACCTTCCTTAGACTAATCAGAAAAAAACATAGACCTGGTTTGCTAGTCTGACCTATGATCATAAAGTCAGAAAAGGCATTTTATCAACCACGATTTTCAAAAGGGCATTTTAATGAAGCGAGCAACACAACTTTTAACACAATGTCCAATTAAAGTTCAGTATTTAGGTCAAGTTTCCAAACACCCTGGCAGTTGAGTTGGCTGAATGCAGCCCGCGTGGGGTGTGTGAGGCAGAGTGGGCCCCGTGAGCTTCGAGAAGGGGTGGAAGGCGGCGGCAGGCCAGAGCCCCAGGAGCTGTCTGCTGACCGAACGTGGCCTTCTGGGGATGGCTTTCAATTTGGTGCTGACTTGGATGGTGGGGCTTTCAGCCTATTATTTCAGCCTATCAAGGGTGGCCCCCAAAATCCCAGTATTCAGATGGGACAGAGAATGAAAATAAGTTGAAAACCCCTACCCTTGTGGTCCATCTCTCTTCCTCTCCTGTGCACACTTGCATCTAACTAAAATTGCTCCCTCTGTCCTGGGGATTAAATGGGATAATTTCTATATTTAGTATATAAAGTATTTGTCACCCACAGCTTCCTAAGGGTCAAAACACCCTGTGGCTTCTTTTCAGAGACACTAAACTTCATATACTTTCCTTCTCAAAGGCCTGCCTAACCTCTTAGTTTCCTCCTAACATTTATGTCTCCTGCCTCTGTCATTTCTTGCACTTTCCTTCTTCGTCTGTTCCCCTCCTCTCATGTCAGGGCACTCACACCTTCTTCCATGATTTTCTTAATACCTGTATGCAAATGACTCCTATGTTTTGTTCTAATGCTGTCCACATTTTCAACATGTGCTGATGACAATGCCTAGTCGTCACTCAGGTGAAAACTAAACTTCCTCACAGACTTTCTACTTCCCCGTTTCAACAGCAGCAGCCACGCAAGTGAAAAAAGTCTCAGGTAGTTCTTCTCCCTCCTTTTAAAAATGTTGCCCCCCCCCCACTTCCCTGTTATATATACGCATGTTGTTTAAAGACTCAGAGTCTTTTAGTTCTGAAAATTTTTCTTGAATTTCTTTAGTACTTTCTCCTCTCCATTTTCTCTTTTCTCTCTTTGTGGAACTTCTATTATTCAGTTATTGACACTTTGGACTGGTTCCCACATTTTCTTATTTCCATTTTCCAATTTCTTTGTCCTGTTGCTATACTTGCTTGATTTCCTCAACTTAATTTTACTACACTTCTATTGCATTATTATTATTTTTTGTGTGAAATTTTATTGGGGAACAGTGTGTTTTTCCAGGACCCATCAGCTCCAAGTCAAGTAGCTGTCTTCAATCTGGTTGTGGAGGGCACAGCTCCTTGGCCCACATGGGAATCGAACCAGTAACCTTGGTGTTATGACCCTGCACTCTAACCACCTGAGCTAACCAGCCGCCCCTCTACTGTGTTTTTAATTTCTGCTATCATATTATCCATTTATGAGTTTTTTTCCCCACTGAACATTTTTTTTACATATCCTTGATAACCAATGATCTCTCTGTGTATGAACAGATTAACTTCCTCCTTGCTTAATGTCTCATTTGTTTTGGCCTCTCTCTCTCTCATGTGAGAATTTCCCCAAATGCCTGATGAAGGCTGCTTACTCATAGGTAAGAGCTGGGCACACAGATACCCGTGGAAGCTCTATTCATATGGGTGAGGTTAGCAACTCTGGGCTTTGCAGTATGGAGATTTGGATGAGTAGTTTCTTTGGGGAAAGCCCATGTATTTTTATTTTTTATTTATTTTTTGAAATAAACATTTTTGAAATTAGTTTTAGCTGTACAACACAGTGCAATAGTTATACTTTTTACCCCTCAAAGTGACAATCCCCCTCCCCCAATCTGCTGCACCCCTCCCCCCCCCATCATAGCCCCATGTATTTTTAGATCTTTCTTTCCTCTTGGGTTGGTCAGAGTCCCCAGAAAACTCTCTTCTCGTTTCCTGGGAGAAAAGAAAGGAGAGGGTGGTGGTTCTCACCATTCAGTGTGTTCAGTGTCAAATTAATGCCGTTTTTAGTGTGCCATGCCTACCCTCAGCTGTGGCTGGTGTCCCCCACTCCAATGACCTGCTAAGGATTTGGCTTTCTCAGGCTGCTAAATCAGTGCTTGTGTGTCTCATGGCTCATAATGTTGCCTCTTTACTCGTCTCAGCGGGTCTCTGCAGGGAGAGCCTGATGCAGGGGTTCAGCCAGAAGGCCTGGCTCCCCGCTCCCATCCCTATTGCCCCTGACTCCTGTGGGACTTCCATGCAACTCCTTCCAATCCTTCTACTCATCTGTGTAGCCACTATGTTGCTACAGAAGTCACTTTCCTCAAACACATTGTCATTTACTTAAAAATCTCATTGGCCCGCCACCGTCTACTGAACAGTCAAAACTCCTTAGCACGACAGCCAAGGTCTTGGATTTGACCCCGGTATTACCTTCCAGCATGACTTCTCATCACACCACTCACCCCACATACTCTAACTGGCAACAATTTCAGTTTCCATAGTGCACATCTATCACCGTGTCTTGAAGACTAGCCATCAGTTACAGAGAGGAGGCTGGAACCAGATTGCCTACATCCAGTATCTGGTGCCTGCCAACTTACCTGTTAGGTGACGATCAGCCACATTACTTAATCTCCTCATCTGCAAACAGGGATCCTAATAGGACCTGCCCTCCAACATTATTGTGAGAATTAAGAGAGCGCTTAGAACAATGGCTGGCATGCAGGAAGCACAAGGTAAGTGGTACAGATCAAAGTCTCCGCAGACCATCAAATCTGTGGGGAGGGATGGCTTCTCATTCACCCAGCACTTGCTGTGTGCTTATAATGGGACCGCCATGATGCTGTTTACGAGGGACCATGTAAAAAGAGCGTGGCAGATGGAGACTATTAGCTAACGATTATCGTACAACGTGGCAAAGGCTATACACAATACATGAATGAGCACAGTGGAAGACAACACAAAAGGGAATGAGGTTTCATGGTTCAGAACAGATGGGAAGGCTTCCCAGATCCAGCGTTGAAGATGGCGCTTGATGAAGGAGTATGCAAGGCAGCTAAGGTGGTGCTGGGACAGTGGGTGGGGGAGAGAACCACAGGCCCGAGAAGCAGGTTGAGGCCAATTGCACAAGAGCCCTGCATAACCTGTTTTGAGTCTATAGTTTGTTTCCACCCGTGCTTGTCAGTTCCACCATCCAAGCACACTGGGAGAGCCAGACACAATTTTGAGGCGTTTTACTAGCTGAAATGCAGCTACTTGACAATTATTTTAAAAATAAATCAGAACACACTCCCAAATGATGTTGGAAGAAGCCAGACACACAAGAACGCATATTCTACGATTCCATTTATATAAAAGACAAAACCAGGCAAAATGTTACCTGTTGTGTCAATTGAGGATAGAGTTACCTTCATGGGTGGAGAGCGAACTGGGGGCGGGGTCCAAGGGAGGACTTCCTGGGGAGTCAGTCATGTTGTTAGTCGATCTGGGTCCTGGTTCCACAGCAATGTTGTCTGTGAAAATTCATCAAGTTGTAAGTCATATGCTTACACATGTACTTTCCTGTATCTGCTATATCTTAAAACCACAAATCAGGCTCATTATACTTTGTGCTTACTTGGATGCACATGTGCTTTAACTTGGAGGAGAGGTGGAGGCACAAACTGGGCAAATAGCCCTCATTTTGTGTTCCTTTACGAACTTAGAGCAGCTTTTAGATACGCTGAACAGCCAAGGGGAGTTACAACAGAGGCAGTATCACCTTCACCGATAGTGGGGCTCCATGACTGTATGATGAACTGACTTACCCCCAAGGGTAGGTTATATATGTGGAGACTCTGAAATGCCAACACTCAGCATCTGTATAAGATTGTCTTTTCCTCATTTTGGACAGAACAAGGGGCTGATGAAACACGGGTCAGAAACACAGTTGTACAGGCATAACGTTTAATGCATCCAACATTTAGGTGCCCTTAGGAACATCAGATTGTTGTGGTGGTTTTCTTTTAAAGAAGTCATTTTCACTAAATATATATATATATAGATACACACACATCTATATCTATCTATCTATCTATCTATCTACCTATCTATATCCGGTTAAAAACAAATAAAAAGATCAAAAAAAGATCTAGAAGTCAAAGCTTCTATTTCAGATGTTTCCCAAAGCAACCAATATTAGGAATTTCTTATATGTTCTTACATAAATGTTTTATAAACACACAAAAGCACATGTAAATGTATACTACTCCTGCCCTGCATTCTTTTCTTTGGAAGCCCAGGACATTCACTTTTGTTTGGTGTCTGTAAACATGGATACAGGTCATTCTTTCCACAAACAGAGAGTATTCCACTGACTATGTGTTATGACTTATTTAACCAGATAGTTCTAGTCTTTTGCTTCTACGATGTGGCATTCACCATCCTTGAACAGACATCTTTGACATGCTTTTGACATGTAGACACTGCACCAATACAGTTACCAAACTTTTTGACCTGTGCATTTCTATATTTGTTGACATTAGCATCTCATCGTTACTTTAATTAGCAATCCTCTGTTTCGTTCCACTGATCGTTCCGTTTCTACCAGAATGAGTATTGACGAGTTTTGATCACCAGTTTAACATCCAGTAGGTTGTATTCTTTATATTTCTCTACAAAAGGATCATTTTTAAAAAATCTTAAGGACACTTCAGATTTTTAAATAGGAAGATTATCTAGTGATTAAAATTGGGGGTGGGGATGGATATGAAATACAGTATGGGGAATATAATCAACAATGTTGTAAAGATCATGTAAGGTGCCAGATGGGCGCTGGACTTATCAAGGGAATCACTTCATAGACTGTGTAGATGCCAGACCACTGTGCTGTACACCTGAAGCTGAAGTAGAGTAATACTGAATGTCAACTATAATCAAATATATATCACGGGATGTCAAATACAGCACAGGGAATATAGTCAATGGTATTGTAGCAACTATATACGATGTCAGAGGGGTAGTAGATTGGGGGAGTATCACTTTGTGAGGAGTTTAAATGTCTAATATGTTGCTTTGTACACCTGAAATTAAAAAAAATATGTAGACCATATACATACATAGACATAAACATACAGCTAATCACCTTTTTTAAAAAAACTGCTAAGATTGAAAAGTTTTTACATATCACATTATATGTAAATACCTCAAGAGGAAATACAGTAAAACCTTGGATTGTGAGTAACGTAGTTTCCGAGTGTTCTGCAAGATGAGCAAACATTTGTAATACATTTTAACATGGTAAACGAGCGATGTCTTACAATACAAGTAGTTTGTTTCCAGAATGAATTATGCTCGCAAACCAATTACTGTCATTGTACTGGGTTAGTGCCCCCCCCGGCCCCCCACAAATTCACAAATTCATGTTCACCCAGAGCCTGTGAATGTGACTTTCTTTGGAAATAGGGTCTATGCGGATGTAATTAAGATGAGGTCATACTGTATGAGAGTGAGTCCTAATTCAATGACTAGTGTCTTTGTAAGAGGGAAACTGGACACAGATATACCCACAGAGAAAACTTTGAACGTTATGCAACAATGGAGGAAGAGATCCACAGAGAAAACGNGGCGACTCGACCCAGGACTTGGCCTCGGCCTGCGTGGGGACAGGGGTCAGACCTCGGCCTGTGCGGAGACAGGGACCAGGCAAGGTCTGGGAGGGGACAGAGGCCCGGCCTGCATAGTAACAGGGGCCCAGACATGGCCTGCTCGGGGATAGGGACAGGGCCCCCGGACACCACCTGCACAGGGACAAAGATGTGGCGTGCGCAGGGTGGGTACCGGAGACATGACCTTGGCCTACATGGCGCCCACCCCGGCGGTGAGGTCCTGCCGGGCCCCCCACCCCCTCCACACCCCACCTCCCCTTCACCCCAGGCGCCTCAGGGTCCCTGAACCACATATTCCCCGCGCACCTTTCTCCTTCTCTGTCCAGAGGCGAGGCGGAGGCTCCAGTGGGCGGAGCAGGGCAGGGAGCAGGACAGGCGGTCAGCGCCGTGGTGCATCCTGGGAGGCCAGCCCCTCGAGGTCCCGCGCGCGGGCTGCAGGGGTGGGTCTGAGAGGGAGGGCCAGCAGGCCACCGCGTTGCACAGTAATGACAACGGCTTCCTGTTCGTGGTGCTTCACCTGGGCTACACTTCCGGTAATCAGCACGCTGACCTTGTAACACCGGCTTGTAGCACAGGGCTAAGGACCTGGCCTGAGCTAAACAGCTAGGACACAGCACGGCTGCGGTTCGAACCTTGCTCCTCCATTGCACAGCCTCTCCGAAGGGTAAATAACATTGGAACTGGCATACAGACTTCACAGCTCCCGGGGGTAGGGAAACGAAGAGCAAAGTGCTCTTTGAATAATTCCATAAAATAATTCCAGGTGCACAGTGATCTCTCATTGAAAGGTTGAGTTAACGGAGATCGATCGATAAAGATAGATAAAATGAGGCGATGAAAAAATATCTCCTGCAAAGAGGGAGTATTATTTCCCTGAATATTTGATTAAAATATAGACCTATGAAAATCATTTATAGAGGAGATAGTATAGTGTAGTAAGAAAAACAGGCTTTGGAGCCAGACAGACCAGGGTTTAAACTCTGACTCTTCAATTTACTAACTTTGGGATGTGTGACCTCCAGCTTTTTAATAGTCTTTGAAAATAAGGATAATACTTCCTCCTTGCAAGGAGCCCTGGGGATCAAATGTGATCATTTCTATAAAGTATTTAGCATAATATCTGGTAAAAATTAAGCACTCATAAAATAAAAGCTGTTTTTACTATTTGAGTTTACAAAAATTTTAGAAAATTATGTTCTTAATAATCAGTAACTTAATAAATCTTACTAGGTCTTAAGTCTTAATAAGTTCTCCATGAAATAATAACATAAAGGCACCAAGGAGAGCTCAGGATGACTTTAAAAAAAAAAAGGCATTCAGATACAGGTAATATGTGAATACAGGTAATGTATGAATAGAGCTGAATGAAAGGCGACTGCAAAGAAGTAGAAAAATAATCATAGATTTAACACCTACTTTGGAGGTGATGTTGAATTGAACTGACATTAGAGAAAATCAAATCAGATATGAAGAGTTCAGATATTCTCCCAGAATACACAGAAGAACAAAGATGAAAATGCTAAGAGAAGTATGGAGACTAAAAAACAGAAACTCAATCTACAAAGGATGATTTAAAAGTGAAATGTAAATAATGTTGAAGGAATGGCAAAAGAAAACAGAAAAATATCTGGGAT